TTCCCGCATGAATTTCAATTGACAGCGGGCGTCGGGGCCGACGCTCCCGAAGTGCTTCCTGACAACCTGACATTCCTGACAAGTGAGGTGTGACATCGCGCCGCGCCGGGCGCGTGCTGCCAGCGGGCCTCAGCAGCAGCCATGCTGATTCATCGCTTGGCTCCCTTCACGTTCGGTGTAGGCACTCACACTCGCATCACCCCATGATCACGTGATCTGGTAATCAGGTCCGCCTGCGTGGTGATTGGTAACCTTCGCAAACGCTTTCCGGACCACTTTCGCCAGGGCCGTATGCAGGATTTCTCAATGCGGGGGGGGGGGGGGGGGGGTCAACAAAACGTTTCATAGAAAATCGCATGTTGGCGCACAGATGTACGCAAAATTTATTATTTAACATGCAAAAATATTGCACGTTTTAAATCTACATGCCGTTAAAACTGAATTTTTGTCATTTCCGGAAGATATTGACATGCATATGCAAAAATGCATGTTTATGTAAAATTGTATATGGCGCGCACGCCCCTGATGCTCGCTGTCCCCCTTGCATGCTGTACACCACTGACTGTTGCGATCCGGTGGTACCAGGGTGACATGACATGACACCAAGGTGGCATGTGCTAGTGATCAGTGGCATAGCCAGGATTTCGCCCCGAAGCGGAGTAAATCGGATCATAGGGGCCCTTCCCGTCAACGGAACCCTTCTTCTCCGCTAAAGGGGCCTTTGTACGTTTGGAGTCCTATTCTGATGCGTCAGGGACCTGTTCCTATGTTAGAGAAACCCTAGGGTGGTCTTCGTCACTGAGGCTTTTGGCCGCGAGGACGTGGGGGGTGGGGGGTGGGGGGATTTCTTCTTCACCGAAGCTAAGCGGGAAAGGGGTGTCACGCCCTAGAAGTCGGCTTGGCAACGCTCATTGTGCCTGTGCCTAATCCACAACGTTAGAAAGGAAGAAAAAATGCAGCGGTTTAATATTTCTGGTGTTTGTGATTTTTAAAAGTGCAAATAGGCATCGCGATCTAAATATTTTGATCGCTTCCCGAAAATGCGATACAAGAGCATTACACTTTAAGTGAGCCTTCGGTAAAAAAACTGGCGAAACAGTTCTGGTCCTGCATATTTTTGTGGACCTTCCCTTCAAACGCCTGGTGGGCCGTTCAGTCCTTGACGGGTGATAGAGTCTCGGAGGGCCTCCTACCCTGAGACGTTCATTGGAATCGCTAGACGCACGGTGCCGAAGTGCCCTGTAGTTGAGGTTACAATCACTGAAGGCATGGTGCTGACGTGTCCTGTGCAGGTTAAACTTGTACTGTACCTGTACAAAGTCGGAGACCTACCATAGATAGCTCATGAGTGATTTGTTGAGGGCACTTCGGCAGCATTTCGGGGCTAGTCCTTCAAAAAAAAAACGCTCGTTTATCTTGAGATATACATTCAGAAGCACTGCGTCATGCTGATGATCTCAATTTCATGCTAAATGACGCAGACGCTACAAAATATATTACGGTCAGTCAGGTCGTCCAAGATCAAACTAAATCCAAGCCGCCGAATAAAACAACGTGAGCCATATTCGACCTTCCACGGTTTGGTTTGGCGCAACACAGATTATATCAACCTTGCAGCGTACGCAAACATGGATACATTTTTAAAATGAAATATGAATTGGTAATGACCAGGAATTATAAATGACTCCACCAACATAGTCCGAAAGGCTCGTTACAGAACACCCAGACCGATGCAGTGTCACGTGACGTCATGCCATGCTGCTTTCCGCCTGGCTTAGCACGCCTAGTTCTCCAGACGGCATAGCGGCTCGCCCAGCCCCCTCGCCCAGCGAAGCGGAGAAAAACAGTCAGATCGGTGAGGCTAGGGCTTGTGCGCTAGCTCCAGCTGATAAGGACACCGAAAACCCTTCCACAGACGCAGACTGGGGCGCAAACAGATGGAGAAGCAAAGACACACACGCGTCCATAGACATCGGAATCCCAACACGTCCAGCATGCCACCTCAGATGCACACCGGTGACCGAGAGCGCGTGCGCGGCACGGCCGCGACGGTGGCGCGTGAGGAGCAGGCCAGCCAGCGGACCGTGGCTGTTCGCTCCAGGCCCGAGCGCGACCGCGCTGACATTCCACATGGCCTGGACTGGATTCGTCGATCAGCCGACTTCACGAAACAGCCGGGGCACGCTCGAGAGAAACCAGCCGCTTACTTCGGCCTCCTTCGCCACAGCAACACAAACGTGCTTTGTTCTCGTGGCCGAGACAGTTTTTGTCCGCGCTAATGCGCTGGCCAGCAGAGGGCTGATTCGAT